GATCAATGTCGACATTTTTGGGAGCTTGTCGGTGTATATGAAAAGGGCCCTTGACAGTTGAAATTCCAAATGAAAGTAGGCGGTAGTGCCGTTGCTTGGGCAAAATATTCATCATAGCACACTACGTGGTGTACTCCCGTCTTCATTAGCCCGGTTGGTGCAGGGAAAGTAGGACGATAAACCCCATTTCATTCTATTTTCGGGGGGGGGGGCGAATGGTTAACACGTGCACGCTGCATCATAAAGTCTGTCATTGAGTCAACTGGCGTGGTTTCGATTCCCCGGTTGTACGTGACAAGGGGTAGGGTCGTGGGTTTTCTCCGGGTCCTCCCACGCGCAAGCGAATTATTGAAATAAAAATTTAAAAACCATAATATTAGCTCCAAAATGACTAGTTTGTGTCGAGTGGACGTTAAACTCTCTCTCTCTCTCTCTCTCTCTCTCTCATTAAGGTCTCGTGTACGCATTGGAGTGCACGTAAAAGATCCCTTGGCAGTTGGAATTCGATATAAGTGTAGGCCGTAGTGCCGCTGCCCGGGCAAAATTTCCCTCATAGCACACTGTATGGCGTATGCCCGTCAGAGATACAACCTGCTGGGCCGACAAGGAACGTGTTGCTTAGTCGCTCGGATCGAACGACAAGTTGCGGTTCACATATGTACATTGTCATACACGTCAAGAGTATGCGAAAACACCACTGGTTAGGTCAAATGTTACTATCTACCATTTCAATCGGGATCAAAAGGACCATATATTATAGTCTGTAAATAATTGTTAGGCCAAAAGTTACAAAATATCATTGCAGTTGAGATAAAAAAAGACCAAGTGTTAGTCTCTAACGCCCACATTTTTTCATGTAACATCCGTGAAAGACAGATGAATTCGTTGAAGCATGAATATTTACAGTTGTCAAATGTCGCCTCCACTGTAAAATATTTCTGTTTTAAATAAAACACAGAAATAGGACAACAACCCTGACACGTCGGTATGCATAGTGGATCTAGTTGAACGCACACAGTAACTAGGCAACCATTTTACCCACATACATATTATATACCATTTACTTATACTGGTCAAACTAACGTAACGAGAGCAATGGAGTATTTCAAATCAAAATGAAATGGGGGTTAAAACCCCACGTTTCTTCTGAACCAGTCGGGTTTTTGACGACGGATATATGCCATGCAGTGCATATATATGAGGAAAATTTTGTCAGGTGACACCCCCCCCCCCCCGCCCGGTCTGACCACACTAAAGACAAGATACCCTCCGTCCTCCACACTTGCAAATGGGACAACGCGCTAGAAAATCCGAACGGCTAGAAGCTGTTCATTGCCTATCCTCGGCATTTTCTTTGCCAGGTTCTAAGCCCTGCACCATTGACAAGAGAAACTATAATTCTTGAATTGGTGGGCTACAAAAATAACATATTATTGAGAGATAAACAATGGGAAATTAATCAAGAATATTGTTCGAACTTCTAAATTTACATAAATTAATAATTAGACATTTATTAACACGACACGGATGGTTCCGATTTTAAGTAGATTAGAACGGCGATTAAATTAAAATTGGAAAATAACCAGAACCGTGGTTACAGTAATAAACAATCAATGCACACATCTTGTCAAAACCATAAACAGTGATAATTTCGCTCAGAATAAAGTAATTTAAATGAAATTTTCAACATATTCATTTTGCATTATCTATTTTTGAACTATCATATAGCAAGAATGTTCTGTTAAGAATGACCAACTCTTTATTTAAATCGTACCTAATGTATTTTAAATACATATTGACAATAACACCCCTCAAAAATATCAAACGGTCCATGTTCTGCCATCCAATCACTATTCAGACCTCTGGGGGTGTTTCAGGCCCGGTTGACACTTGTGCCTGATAGAGTCTGTGGGATTGACAAGGAAAATAAGCCTAAATTTTTGGATGGGACGATAAATTGACACCCACCCTTATACACACTGGGATGCACGTAAAAGAACCCCTGAAGATGGAATTCGATAAAGAGTAGGCGGAAACGCCGCTGTCCGGTCAATATTATATCCTAGCAATAGAAATAGCTATGTTAGTCTCATAATGACTGACGTATTATGTTGGAGAGCCGCTAAACTGTATTCATAGTTAATGTCCGTTTAAAACAGCACGGTATCCAGGTCGAAAGACTGCAGCTGTTCGAGCACAATTCCCCTTATAGCACACTGTATGGCGTATGCCCATCTTCATTAGCCCAGTAGGGGCAGAACAGTAGGACGTTAAACACTATTTCATTTGATTTCATTTCGGCTCGGTGGGTATGGCGCTGAATTATCATCTCTCTTAGCCGAGTAAGTTCCTTGTGGTTTTCTAGCCTGGTTCTCTTAAAGCCCCCCCCCCCCATTCCCCACCCCTACCTCCCCGGACCTGTTGAAATCGAAAGAAGAAGGCCTTAATGTCGCTGTCCGGGCAAATCTCTCTCCCTTATAGCACACTGGATGGCGTAGTCTGGTTGGTGTAGTAAAAGGAGGACGTTACTTCATTTTACTTCATATTTACTGTCTCCGTAGTCAATGGGAAAATGGGAACAAATGTGGTGATTCATTCGCAACTGGTGATTAGGATAAGTAGAGATGGGTATGTAAAGGGAGACAACTGTCTATACAATTTTATGGGTTGGGACCACAGTTATTCTATTCATTGACTAAAATGGGAAATAATATGGTGGCCTGATCAGTAATGGCACCGGTGTGATATACATGGGCTGGCAATTGTTACTGGCAAGAGCCCTTCGCAGTTGACGGATGTATTGTGTGGTATTGACGAGTCATTAAACCCAATTCCATTCAAATCTAAAACGTTACACGATTTACCATTGTTTTCCCCGAAAAAGAGTCTAATCGTGCGGATGGGTCAAAAAAACAAAACAAAAAAACCTGAGGTCCGGTGCACATGTTGGTGTGCACGTAAAATAACCCTCTGCAATTGAAATTTGAGTAGACTGTAGCACCGGTGTAGAAACAAAGAGGAATGCTAAACCCCATATTATTTCAAAACAAAGATAAAGGCAGTAGCAGAAGACATACGATGTTGGATGACACTAGTGCACTTCGATGGAAATTAGTTTTTAAAGACTTAGTTAAACGTACGGTACAATACTTCAATGTTTAGTGTTGGGATTGTGGAAAATTGTATTGACAAAACCCATATTCTCATTTAATTTGGTCACTATTATGAGACTCCAAATTCACCAAAGACGTCTTTTGTCAATAAGAACATTATAAAAGTTTTGGTGCAATATGCAATTTTAATAAACGCATTCAGGTCCCCCGTCTCTCAACTGGCCCCGCCACTGTATCCAAACCCGGTGGTATTCTTTTCTTTCGATCGCTTGCTTTCTATTTCCTTATGTTCTGGTCTGAATTAAGACCGGTACGTAATTGCGCCCCCTGATATAGTTCGCCTATTTATAGCAATAATCTGTTTTACCCCCGCCCCACCCTCATATCACCACCCCCTTTCACAATTCAATTATTGGTCTAGAATTCGAGAAGAGGTTTGAATTTACATTTTCTGTTATTTTTGTGAACATTCATGATTTTGTGACGGAAAGATCAGAAAAAAAGGCGTAGCAAAAAAACCCAAGATAGTCAACGCCCTTCAATATTTTTATCAGATTAAAGTATAATGTTAGTCTCTTTGTGGTTATAGAGATTAAAATCATCGGAATGTTAAAAACAATGTTATAGGCTACCAAGGAATGGTATGAACTTAGCATAGACGTCACCTTCGAGAGATAGATAGAATTACTGGTCTGACCCCGCATGAGCCCAATCAGAGTTAGCCCCCTTGAACTATCTTCTGTCAACTAATATCAAAGAGAGGGATGTCATCGATGTGAGTTAATAAGCTCGCAATGTAACCTTTTTTTTCTGAAAATTAAATTACGGAACATTTTTTTGAAGTAATAGATTTATAAATAAAGGAGTTTGAAGTATATCGGGGAAGAAATATTTTCTATTTAGGGTATATGAGTATATAAAATGAGTAAAAGGCACCATTCTGATAGGACCAGTTCACGTGACGTTATGTAACCACTGCACACATTATCGACCCAATGATCGATGCCATGTGATGTGACGTCACGCGTAATATTATGAACTTTATAAATGAAATGTGGATTTTAACGTCTTACGAAGACGTGCATACGCCATGCAGTGTGCTATGAGGGAAAGTTGGTCAGGACAGCGGCACTATAGTCTAGGCCTACTCTTAACTGTCAAGGGTTCTTTTACGTGCACGCCAATGTGTACTAGGGGCCTCGGTTTTTCGTCCCACTCGAACGACTATACGTAGTACCTTGCCAGGTTCCCCGACCTACACCTCTGACAAGGTGGGACCACGGCTGAAAATCCCGATGAACTTTTTGGGCCAACGCAGGGATCGAACACGGGACTTCCAGGTTAGGGAGCCAACACCCTACTCACAGAGCCACGAACTTTATAAAAGTTAGTCATCATACACAGAAGTATCAGAAGAAGGCCCTCGCAATACCTCTGTGAAACAGATGGCCACGTTAGTTTAGTTGCAATATTGTGCTCGACAGTTTTACGTACACGGGTGGCCATGGCGTTACTCACGTAAAATGTCAAGTAGTTTTTTTGTGTTTTTTTTTAAGGTTGAAGTTCCTAGTTTTCAACACCAACCGGACTACTTAAGACAGCCGCGCACCTTTATCGTGTTCTACGAGCGACATTTTGGCCTAAAAGGGGACCTTTATGGTGTTGCCAATGGTAATCACAGGGCCTCATTTTGGGACAAAAAGCCGTGGCTCTTCGTACCCATTTGGCGTGCACGTAAAATAACCATTGGCAGTTTGAAATCGATGTAAGAGTAGGGCGTGGGCGCCGCTATCCGGGCAAAATTTCCCTAATAGCATACTGTATGGCGTATACCCGTCTTCATTAGCCCAGTCGGAGCAGAACAGGAAAAACTGGAATAAAACCATCTTCCTTTTAACATTTTATTTCATATGATTAGTGAAATCTTGAGATAATAAACATTTAGACCATTGAAATGGAATGTTAATAAAACTGTTATTGGGTGAGAGGTGACATGGTTTAACATTAAAGTCAATGTGTAGAGAATTACTAGTCTGAATCCAACTAATAATACATTATTATATTGTTTATATTGAACTAGTCAGTATGAAGAGCTAACAACCTAGCCATGAGTCGATCAGCCATTGGTGCTGTTTGTTTTACTTTCTGTTTCTCTTGTAACATTATCCTGAAATACAATATAAACATTCAGATGCAGAGATGGAAAGAATGACACAGTAATGGGGGGGGGGGGTTACAATCTATGACGTTAAAATCTTAAACCCCATAAAACTCAGCAGCTTTCAAAATCTAAAACATGCATAAGTCAAGGTGACGTCAAAATATTAAAACATGCACACGTCGGGATGACGCTAGAATCTTAAACATGCATAAGTCGGAATGAAGTCAGAATCTTAAAATATAATATACAAATCTTAATACATGCACAAGTCGAAATGAAGTCAGAATCTGAAAACATACATAAGTCGTGATGAAGTCTTAAAACATGCACAATTCGGGATGAAGTTGGAATCGTAAAACATATACAGGTTGGAATGACACCAAAATCTTAAATGATGACATCTATAAGCAATTATTAAGTTTATGATCGAGTGACCTACCCAGGCTTATAGCGCGAATATCTAAAGTTAAAAAAAACGGTAATAATGGCACATAACAATGCTATTTCAGTTATTTTCTTCTTAACTTTGAATTACAAATGAAGTAAAGTATGTGCAAATCCGTAATCTGCAAATTTACTCCAATCCCCCAACCCCTGGGGAGGCGAATTACACTTTGAGTAGACTATTTACAACCGGTTGGGAACCTTTGAGGCAAAGTCCAAGGCCCGACCCCACAAAGCAGCAAGCGACAGGTAAGTGGGTTTTATTTACTTACTTAGCCAGAGCATGATGTTCTTTCTTGGATGATTTCAGAGCTGCTTGTATGAGAAACAAATTAAATACATCTCTCTGGGAGTAAAAAATATAAACTTCGACTTAAATTATCATTAACACTGCTATCAGATAAATAATTGAGTGGCGATCAGACAAGTAATAGGGTTGAGGTCACATAAGTAACTGAGCAACACTTGGATAAGTAACCGAGTTGCAGTCAAATACGTAATTAATTGAGTTGCGTCCAGATAAATAATTGAGTTGCGGTCAAATAAGTAACTGAGTTGAGGTCCGATAAATAAGAAGAGTTGCCGTAAGACAGGTTAGTGAGTTGCGGCCAGATAAATTATTGAGTTGCGGTCAAATAAGTAACTGAGTTGCGGTCTGATAAGTACCTGAGTGGCGACCAGACAAGTAATTGTGTTGGGGTATGATAAATAATAAGAGTTGCTGTAAGATAGGTTATTGTGTTGCGGCCAGATAAATTATAAGTAACTGAGTTGCGGTCTGATAAGTATGTGGGTGGCGACCAGACAAGTAACCGAGCTGTGTTGCAATTAAATAAGTAACCGAGTTGCGGCGAAACAAGTAAATCGGTTGAAATCTGATAAGTACTTGAGTTGCAGTCTGATAAGTAACCCAGTTGCAGTCTGATAAGTAACTGAGTTACAGTTTATATGAGGATTATTTCTGCCTGTTTTTGGACACGTTACTTTCCCAACATTGACCATTTTGACCGCTCTCTGTACCTCCGGTTTGTATGATAATGTTCATTTTTGTGGATCTGCAGGCCTGACATTGATTTTCGACGTTTTAAATTTATATCCGAAAGTTACGAGGTAACTATCAATATATTCCTGTAATTTCCGCCGTGTATGAATTTATATGCTGGGTATTGTACAATATGTGCTGTTTGATTGGTTATCGTTTAATGACGTACCTGTGCGTTACTGCCACCTATGTATTGTATTTGATGACGTAATGGTTGTAATATATCCACAGCTTCCTCAACCCTGCCTTCATCATACAATATCATAGCTTGACAGATAGGTTCCCCATACAATTTACTGATGGTCTGGTTCTTACTACTCTCACCCCTATAAACAATTAAGAAAACAGTACACTTGGCAGACAGGTTTATAGTTTACTGATGAACTGATTTTTACTTCCTTCATTTCTACAAAACTGCATACAGTTTACTGATGGTCTGGTTCTTACAACCCATACCCCTATAAGCAGACATGTTGCCCATATAGTTTACTGATGATCTGGTTCTTACAACCCCCACCCTTATAAACAATTAAGAAAACATGTATTGGCTGTACACTTGACAAGTTCCCCATACAGTTTACTGATCATCTGGTTCTTACATCTCCCACCCTTATAAACAATTAAGAAAACATGTATTGGCTGTACACTTGACCAGTTTCCCGTATAGTTTACTGATGAACTGGTTCTTACAACCACCACTCCTATAAACAATTAGGAACATGTGTTGCCAGTACACTTGACAGAGAGGTTCTCCATACTGTTTACTGATGAACTGGTTTTTACAACCACCACTCCTATAAACAATTAAGAAAACATGTATTGGCTGTATACTTGACAAGTTTCCCATACAGTTTACTGATGAACTGGTTCTTACAACCACCACTCCTATAAACAATTAGGAACATGTGTTGCCAGTACACTTGACAGAGAGGTTCTCCATACAGTTTACTGATGAACTGGTTTTTACAACCACCATTCCTATAAACAATTAAGAAAACATGTGTTGCCAGTACACTTGACAGAGAGGTTTTTCATACAGTTTACTGGCGACCTGGTTCTTGGTTCTATCATCCTAACAAACAATTAATAAAACAGTACATTGACAGATTGGTTTTCCATACAGTTTACTGATGATTTGGTTCTTGCTTTCCTCGCCCTTACATACATTTAACAAAACATTAGCTGCCAGTACACTTAATTTAGAAAATTTAGATAAAGAAAACTTTACTTGCAATAGTCGCGTAATGATGACATCAGCTGATCCGTGGCTTGTTTTTGGTTGGCCCCCAGACATGCCATTAAAATATGTATATCATTAAATGCCAGAATGTGATCTTCACAGTGAGGTCGACATAATTCATATACGTCATTCCACCTATCTCCGATATCTACACCTATAAAATATAATTGAATACTGTTGTGAAGTTTGGGATAACTGTAGTAGTTATAATTCGGATAAATTAGAAATTTTTCGGATGAAAGCAGCTCGGGTTGTTACAGGAAATACAATTTACGCCTCCAGACAATCTTTATATTTTGAAACTGCATGGTCAAAATTAAGTGAAAGAAGAAAGCTTAGACGTTTGTATCAGTTACATAAAATAATCCACGGAATCTGTCCCGTGTATTTTCGTATACTATACATTTTGTAAACGAATCCCAAACACTTTACAATTTACGAAACTCCAACATTCGGGAACCCCGTTGTCGTGTTAGTATCAGACGAAAATCATTCTTTCCGAAAACTATTCGCGAATACAATAATTTATCAAAAGATTTAAAAGACATTGCAAACGTTAAAGAATTTAAAAAATCTCTAAAACCTAAAATAAAGCCACCAAAATTCAGAAGCATTGGTTCTAGGCCATTCCCTATATACCACAATCGTATTCGACATGGATGTAGTAGTTTAAATTTCGATCCATTTCGTTCACATATAATTGAAAATCGATACTGTAGTTGTAACGCTATATCTGTCGAAAATTCGTATCATTATTTTTTTGATTGCCCGAAGTATAGTACTCAACGCTGTGCCCTTTTCAATAAACTGACATGGCTTGGAAGTAGTCCTTTCACTGAATTACACGAAATATTTCTCCATGGTTCATCGCTACTATCAAAAAAATTAAATAAAATGTTAGTTTTACTTATTCAAAGGTATATCAAAGATTCGAAACATTTTACATATGATTGAAAACAAATACTATAATAATGTACCAATAAGTAAACTTAAAGTTTCACTATTAATATGCATTAACTAATATAATCTACAAGGAAGTTTTGTAAATAGATGTACATATGTTTATGTTAGTTAAATTAAAAATCAATTCGCCATACTATTTTGTATAAAAGTTTGACTGATATTTGGGAGAAGATTCATAATTTGTTATAAATTGTTCTAATCCCTTTGTAAAGAATATTTTTTTTGCAATAAAATATGTTTTAGAAAAAATAAAATATAAACAAGGACGACAACCCCCTTCGATGATTACATAATATCGCCACATATCACTTTTTCTATTCGATATCTAGAATCTGCATCTATAAACAGGTACGATAACTCTTTTACTAATTACATAATATCGGTACATTTCACTTTGTCTACTCTATATCTATTATAATAAACACGGGTCGATAAATAATTTAATATGTACACACTATCAGTATTTTATACCTTCCTTCTTTATCAACTGCCAATATGTATGTCATAATATAAACATGGTCGAATATCTACATAATGCCAACGGATTTCAATGATCCTATTTATTCTAATATGCTAATATAAACAGGGGCGATGACTCTTTACCTTCTAGTTTTAATCTGTACAGCAGCGAAGCTGCGTCAACAATATCCAACATGGCACCAGATTTTTGAGCTCGACGATTGATCTGTAAAAACACGTTGGAATATATATTACTCACATACTATTAAAGCAGTTTTGTGACCTAATTCCTAGAACCCTCGTAGACTGTTTATAGAAATAACCATTATTATATAATACTGTAGTATTTTCTCCTTTTGATAGACTGAACAAAGGGAGCAGAAATTAAAGAAATTAAATTTCTTGGGTGACATTTTCTCCATTGATAGACGCACTATACTTATTAACCTGAACTAGGCATTCAAGTCAGCCAACGAATATTCGAAATAACTAACCATTCTTGTTATACCTTCGTTCAGTACACGTATTACATTTTATTTCAGTTAACGTCTTACCTCGTTATCAAATATGGTCAACGCCTCTTCATAATCTCCCTGATAAATACAATAGTAAGATAAAAATTATTTCAACTAAGAACTGAGTTATCTAAGGAGAAAAAACAGTCTCTACGAATTAGTGTCTTAAAACCTGATACATAATAATGTTAAAGCGACTATCCCGATTTGAACAGAGTCTCAAAAATAAAAGTATGAGTATGTATGAAATTTAAACACCAAAATATAGAGGAATGGAGTATTTATACCTTGTCTCAAAATTTCAGCTGAAAATATTGAGTCGTTTGGACGTGAAGGTCAAAACTGCTTATCCGGACACGTAACCCTTTTAAGATTTCGGGTCAATTTTTTCGTTGGATGACCTGATAATCGATTCCCGTTCCTTTAAAGGTATATACAATGAATGCCCCATGTGCTGTACTTGATGACTATAGGTAAATTTCACCTACAAATTATTTTTATAAACTTAAAGTCTGGTTTTGTCCAGAAACCGCATAATACATCTTGGGACATCGGTCTCCATTTCTAGATGAAGACTGACGGGTTTAAGTTGTTTGAAACGTATCACATATATGGAGTTAGTTGCACGGCTCTAAGGTAAAGGGTTTTAATGGATTTTAACACAAAATTAAGCAGTTTTATTCTCCAAAATATTATCGGGATTGGCCCTTTAACCAGCGGCTGCCAGGCCGGATACGCCCACATTTTGCAAGAGATGGATAGAGAACAAGTTAAAAACAAACGTGATTTTTTGTACAATCACGGGCAATAATCCAGAAAGTTATGGCCTGAAATGTGCAAATATCAACAGGGACTGAGATCTTTGGGATATAAAGATATGTTTTAAGTTTCATCAAAATCGGATAAAAATTGTGGCTTCTAGAGGATCCACAACCTTCGTATTACACACCTTTACACAATTTGCGTACAAAGTGCGGGCATTTTGTCGGGCAGTTTCATTTCGATTTTCACGAAATTCGAACTCAACAAACATTACGGTGTAACGGTGATATATTCGAACTTTTTTATTAAATCGGATAATAATTGTGATCTCTAGTGGGACCACAAGCTAAAATTAGTTTGCTGCGATTGGTTAAAATATACTAATATTAGCTGTAAATGACCGATTGAAATTTGATGTGTGAAAGCAAAATTAAAATTTAATATAGCCATCGACTGATATATAATTGGATTCAATTTTCATCATGTAGAGCCGACCCAATCACCAATGATACAAGACATTAGAACAATCCGATTCAATACAATAAATCTCCTTTAAGTGTCATTTAGTAATTGAACAGTAACACACTAACACTATTTATGAAATAACAATTACTGGTTTATTAACATGTAACGTTTCGACAATGATACTCTTGTCTTTATCAAGCAAATGATAACATATACGTAAACATCAAATATTTATATACAGTAAAAAGAAGACATAAATATAGACATTTTACATAACAAGCACTAATCAAAGCGATGATGACAAAACCCTTAGTAGTTACAGTGAGCCGAAGCCATAATTAATTACATGTCTAAAGAACTGGGAGTAAGATCTAGTGCTTCGTACACTCATCCAACAACCTGTTATTTTACACTCAATGTAAATGTTATCTAAATAATAGTTAAGGCTTGTTATTGCACACTTAATTGATTGTTTAACACCATTTTTAAATCATGATCAGTGAGTAACACTTATTATTAATTAACGCTTACTCCCAGTTCTTTAGACATGTAATTAATTATGGCTTCGTCTCACTGTAACTACAATTGTAACGTTGCATGTTAATAAACCAGTAATTGTTATTCCATAAATAGTAACAATAAATAGTGTTAGTGTGATAATAAATCTCAATAAATTAGTGAACAAAAAGAAGATAAATATATCACGACTTATCAAGCAAATTCAGTGCTTTATTTTGGACCCCCATAAAGTAGTTTTAGCTCATTTAAAGCTACATTAGCTAAGATTAAATAAAGAGCTGACAGTTCTCGCTTTAAGAGTTAAAAATAAAATAATGAAAATGGAATGAATATATATATTGAAAATTTCAGCCCAATTACTTCACTCTGTGCCTAGCTATCGGCTATACAATTGTCATTGCTACCGTTGTTACGATAATAAACGAAGTCTCAATTATATATTTTTACGGCAACCATAAAACGTATTTAAATCTACTCAATATCGGAATCATCCGATTGCATCGAACGTTAATTATGGTCTAATTAATAAATTACATAACATTTAAAGGATAAAGAAAGACCTACAATAGGCAGATTTAGCTCTTGCATAATGGTTGTTTGAATCTCACTAAAGTATTGAAATTAGTGAAAATTAAAATTTAAAACACCTATATCTAAAAGATAAAACGTAAAAAAAGGCCTATTATTACCTTTTCTATGTAGTAGAGACACCAGTGCCAGAAATTATGACAGGCCAACATGTTACATATCTAAATTATAAAAATATATGACAGATCAATATGTTACATATCTAAATCATAAAAAATATATGACAGACCAGCATGTTACATATTATCTAAATCATAATACAGAAACATTAACGGTTAATAATTCAGACCTTGTGCGCCTTGATCAAATGGGGGATTCACGGTGGGTAAGACGCGGATACGCTCCCGGTGTTGGCCTGACGGAAGGGCAGCTGTCTAGTCGTTCGGATGGGAAGAAAAACCGAGCCCCGGGTACACATTGGCGAGTCCGTAAAAAATCCCTTGACAGTTGAAATGTGATATATGAGTAGGCCCCAGCGCCGGTCCCCGGGCAAAATTTCCCCTATAGCACACTGTATGGCATATTGTCGTCTCCATTAGCAGAACAGCAGGACATTAAATCCAATTTCATTTTTGATCAAATATTTAGGATTAAGACTAGTAATTATTTCCATTGAATTCGTGGTTCTAATCTCGGCCTTCGGGAGTTATTAACTCTGGTTTGCACTTGTCAGGGATGGCGCCTAAGGGGGCTAACAGGGAATATGTGCCAGTAGTTCGGATTGCAGCCTGGTCGTTCGAATGGTACGGAAAACTGTGGTTCATCCGAGTGTACGTACGCACGGTAAGTGTTTACGGATGTTTATCGTTCGGATGGGTTGAAAAACTGAAGTTCACCAGTGTACATATTTCTTTCGTATCTTTAATTTTTTTGTCGTCATGGAGATTTTATCTATAAATTGTAGCATAGTCGATCGAATAGTGCGAAAACCCCGAGGTAGACATTGAGTTCCCGTAGTTATTTTTATGTGACAGAGCTAGCCTCTGACATCAGCAGCCCCTTATGTTGCTATGGATTCCGGAGTTTAACATTAGCAGTAGTAGCCTACCTACCGTCCAATCATTAACTGTTTTGTCTAGAAATTGTATCCCATCATCCTGTCTTCCTGTCATCTCCATCACGTGACACATCGTGTGAGTTGCCCATGCGTCATGCTTGTTCATAAATAAACTCTATAAAAAAACCCACAAAAAAACCCACAATATAAATATGTTTCCATGGCAACTTCTCAAACTATTTCATTTCATTGATAATATTTATTACACCCATGTTCAAGAACATTAGAAATGATCCAGTAGACAGATTCATTATATAAATAAAATCTTTGTTTTAAAAACATATTCTTATGCGTCATTTCTGACCTTTTTTGCTGTCTTTTCAGCCTCATCAAATAAATCTGTTTCTTCCAAACCAAACGAATGCATTCCAAGCAAATATCTATAGAATAGATAAAAAAAAGTAGACTTATACAAACACAAAGTAACAAATTTGAATGTCCAGATTAGCAGAAATCTTTCAGTCCCAAAGGAACTAAGTGAAGTAAATGCATATTCTGCACACACAGATCCACCTACTTTATACTTCGAGAATAGATCTCTACCCTAAATGACCGACATATCCAAAAAATAGTATACTGTTTTGTAATGCGGTCTAGTCCGTTTTACATGTGATCATCTTCAATTGAAGGCTTGATCTCGCTTTAATTGAATGTCCAGATTAGCAGAAATCTTTCAGTCCCAAAGGAACTAAGTGAAGTAAATGCATATTCTGCACACACAGATCCACCTACTTTATACTTCGAGAATAGATCTCTACCCTAAATGACCGACATATCCAAAAAATAGTATACTGTTTTGTAATGCGGTCTAGTCCGTTTTACATGTGATCATCTTCAATTGAAGGCTTGATCTCGCTTTAACTCCATACATCTTATCAAGCCCTTCGTGTAATACCCTGATATTTGAGAGCCTATAAGATTCCCCGATCATTGCGAATACCAAGTTATGCGCCCTCTAGCTAAAATGTCTACTTAAGATAATCGAGTTGCAATGTTCAAGATTCGTTCAACGTCAAGGTTTATGTGGAGGTCACCATGTTTGATTTGAGCGTGTTTGTGTCAAAACGTTGGATTAGACGCTACTGTGCACATTTCTGTGGTAGCTACAAGTTCAGGAAATGTAAAGCAGTATGGCAACGTCTAAATGTTGTAAAACTCGCGGTCGTTGCTCCAGGAACATTACATATCATAGACAGAGAGACTAAATAAACATTTTCAATAAATACTTAACAAATGCTCGAACTATACTTAAATATCGGTCAACTTGCCTAGTGTCTATTCTGATGGGTGTGCAGTTTTTGCGCCCCATCTCAAATCTAAATAATCACATGGTTTTAATGCGGTTACTCTAACGACACACTTGCCATATCTGTTTAAACATTACTAACCATTTGAAGCGCCGCTGTACCTGTACAGATTTCCCCCATTGCATACTGCATGACGTATGCCCCTTTTCAGTAGTCTGATCGGTCCGAGGAACTTTCTCCTTCCACACAACGGCAGCGAACCCGAGACTTCATGGTTATGGACCTTAGAGTGACTTTCCTTGTACGCGTTTGTTAATTTGTATTTCTATGTGTACAAAAAAAATCGCTGAAATCACGCGCCAAATACGTCATAAGTGAAGATTTCTCTTTAAAACACGGGGTCCTCCTTTTCATAATAATACCAATTCAACCATGTCTAAAAAATCTGCCATTTACAAGTTGAATTTGCGGTAAATCAACTTAGTGGAAGAGAATCCGTATTTGTACACAAAAAAAAACAGCCGCTTGAACACAAATGCGCACACTTCATACGAGAAAAAAACGACGCGGAAGAGCTGACACTGATTAAAAACACAGTAACGTACCCATATAGTGGTATATTGTCGTTCCATTTTTTGATCACCCTCCCTGTACTGTCTCTCATATCAGTCTTTAAACCCAGGTAAAAATATGTATCATGGGCAAACTTTAACGCCAACATATCGTGGGGATGTTCACTGATTATACTTTCCCACGCATTATAGGCGTTATCTGTACGGCTGAAATGCAACGAATAATAATGAATAAAATGGTGTTTTATGGCATGCCAACTCCAACTGGGCTATATTGGTGTTTGTTTCATGAGACACACTAGAAATAAATAATCACAATAATAAATTAAGAAACAAGAAATCAGATATCTTAAAAAATCTAACACTTTTACAATAAAGACCTAGATTGGGCAATTAATCACTGACGTTGTGACTGGCAACGGTAGTATTTTGATCGTACATCCTTCAGATAGTTTAAACAATATTCTATTCAATAAACTGAAATAGATTGAACAACAGGCAAAGGCCTATATAAGTTCTCTCCTTCAGATGGTAGTACTCTGCAACGAATAATATTTGTTTTTAATACAAATAGCTGTCTTGTAATTCAGACAACAACCAGGTTATGCATACATCACCAAATCTTTTAATATCACTGTTATTGGTGACAGCCAAGGACTAGGTGATCGAATATACCTTCTTGTCCATCCAAGTTATTTTTAAAAAAATGGCGGGTGATAAGGGACACGACGAATTCCTACATCGGATGTAGTGCAAAATAGTCTTTCTCTTCCTTTCCATTCTCCCTTTTGCATGGCGATTTTTCGTGTAGAATCGAAGAAAAGGGTTTGGATGTACATTTTCTGCCAGGTTTTGGTGAATATTCGTGATTTTGAGGTGGAAGGATAACAGAGTTAAAATGTTGGTTACGTTGACATGAAGGGCGGACAACTGCGTATTTACTAGTATGCTACTTTCAGTTCGTGTATTTCAAGATTTTCACGTGACCCTCATACATGTTTTTGAGCAAGAGGTTGCCACATGTTGTCCCATCTATGGTGGAAAGTATGCAACTCAATGAAAATTTGGGAAAGAGTTAGAATCTGTCAAAGAGACAGGAATTAACTTTATAGTCAATGGTGTAGTGTGGCCATATACATTCTACATAAACTTCCGGTCCAAAGGGGTAAAAAAAATGGCGAGTGATATATTGTCTACATTATTGCTGAATTTAATCATCCGTGGTTTTAATCCCTCCATGTACATATAAACGCGTCGACCTGGACTTTCTTAAATATCTTACCCATTAGCAAATTGCTTGATAGCTTCCACATGTTGCTTTTCTCTGTTAGTAATGTTTCTAGCTTCACACAATTTGTTCAATTTCTCTATATCTAATTTGAACTCAGGGTCAAGGTTCACGGTCTTACCAGTACCAAGCAGGTCAAGCCCATTCTTCACTACATTGCCCATTACTTTAAAAACAAAATCACTCGATGTTACCCAAATTTCAAATTTCTCTACCTACTAGCATCATATCGCAAACTCTTTTTTTGCTTTCGCTCACTAATCATCCTGCCCCTTTTGTTGGCCTTCTGTGTTGATTCGAATAAAGTGGTTTGGATATACATTTTACATCAGGTTTTCGTGAGTATTCATGACTTTGAGGTGGAAGATAATACAGTTAACAGGTTGGCCACGTTGGCACCGAGGACTCGCAACTTTGTTTTTTTTATCAGCAATGTTTTTATTCAGATTTGTATCTGAAAAGGGATTGGGGAACAGGCATAGCCTATATTAAACCCTTCTCGCAACTTTACATGTACATTTAGACTGACAATGTCATCAGTGCAGGTCATAAAATGTGACAGACGGACAGCAGCCTGTATAACTGAAAGTGCAAAACACTTAGCTAAACCTGGTTTCATTTCTATGATTCAGTTCATAATTGTTCTTTGAATCGCGGGTATCACGAACTAAATCAACAGAGAGACGCGGAGGTTGGTATCACAGCTTATTCTTATTTCGAAGAAAGGGTTATTTTACGTGTAACCCAATGTGTATCCAGGACCTCGGCTATTCGTGCCAACAGGACCCCCGACTACACCACTGACAAAGGGAAACTATGCCCCCCCAAAAAACCCGACGAACTTTCTCGGCCAACACCCGAGACCCCCAGGCTAGCGAGCAAGCGTTTTACTCACTGAGCCATCACGAATCTTCAAAGCTAGCTTAAGGATGCAGCCATTATAATCCTTGGACACATTTTCGCTTTTGACCAATGGAAGAGCTGAATTCTTAAAACATTTTAATTCACGAATTGTTTTAAATAAAGACCCAGCATCTCTTCCTAAAATGGCAACACGGAGACTACCCATGACTGTCAGGTACTCCAAATGAAAGATTCCATATAAGTGTTTTTTATTACCAAATTGTGGATCAGCTGTAATCATTTTATTGACGGCTTCATCTATTCCACCAACACTGACATCGTCGTACCAACCTACGTACTGAAATACATGACAATTGCCCACATAACAATTGGACGTTATAGTAACGTTACATTAACGTTGTCTAACCATGGACCTAAAGTAGATTCACATGTGTTGTTGAATTGTGTGGTAATGTCCATGCGTTCTAACTATTGAACACACGAAAGGCGTGGGGGCTATTTTCTAGTTTCCGTTTGCATTAGCCCAGTCGTTGCAGAAAAGTAGGGCGTAAATCAACATTCCATTTTATTTCTCTTCTGGCTACGTATGTCGCAGCACATAATAATACAGATTTAGGAGTGTCGATCATGCCACTCTAAACTCCGTACACGGTTTAACCCGGTTTACAGATAACTGAATGGATCCAATCGGGACTACATCGAAATGTTTTGATAGTTATTTTTAATTATACATTCACCTCATTCAACAGAAGCTGTCGTTACGTAAGGAACCATGACCACGAAGCTGGAATCTCCCATATGCGCGACAATCATTCTAGTAAACCATCAACATGAAGTTGGAATCTCTCATGTGCGCGACAATCCTTCTAGTAAACCATCAACACGGAGCTAGAATCTCTCATGTGCGCGATGCAGGACAATATCCCATTGAAAAAGAAACCCCTAATCTTTATATTCCTGGGAAGGCGGGAGGGGCTATTCCCGGCGCCGAGTACTTTTGTGCTCCATGGACCATGCAATAGTTGATTCACAATTAAGTGCATATTTAACAACGCATGCGTTTTTCCAATGGCGTGGAGGTGAAACAACTTTAAACCAACGACGAAGAGCGTACAATTATACCCTAGAGTTCGTCATATAGTCAGTGCCATGGATCCCAGCTATTAGTCGACATTGTTTCGGTGTATTAAATAATCAGCTTTATGCCATAGGTTACGTTTGACAATAAAATATTGTGACATGGGACTGACTGAAATGAAATTACTGACTGACCTGTGTAACAACAGCATCAAACATTTTAGCTGCTTCATCACTTGTTGTTGTCAATGGCAACTTCTCATCTCTCCATTGCTACAACAAACCAACACCGAAGCATATTTCCCCCGTCTTAATCCCAAAATATATAGCTGACACTGAATGATTACTTGTACATTTAGCATTGTTTAAAGCATCGAGCATTGACTATCACTCTGCTTATATTAACCGACGCTTAATCTGTTCATTAGTCAGGATGTTAATTTAGAAGCAAGTTTATTAAAGTCTCGGTTAATGGAACTGCTTATCTATGTTTAGCCTCAACATACAATGACCAGCATCGCATTCCGTCAAAATACCAAAAGTCTTCCAAAATCGGATTTGCGGGTCTAGGCAAAAATTGATAAATCAATCCAAGATGGCGGATGTCGGCATGAAATAGCTTAAAATACCAAATATCTCCGAAAGAAAGATGTACCACGAATCATATAATAGTGATATCACTGTACCAGATGATGGAATCAAATGTTTGCTATGACGTCAAAGAAGCGTCATAACGCAATATCGAGTCAGAAAACGGACAAATTAAATAGAAACTTACGTCATAACGCAAGGTTAAGTCAGAAAATAAACAAATCAGATAGAAATGCCCTTTTTAACTGAATAATATTATGCAAATGTGCACCGTGTGACATTTGAATAAACACCTTTTTCTGTGGGGCAAGTTTTGCACGGACTGACCAAGTGAGATAAACACATATTGAATTACAATCTAAACTTTCACCCAGGCAAATCTTTTTATCTATCACAAGTCAAGGCCCGTGAACATTTTATGAGGCCCTGGGGGATTCTCTGCCCCCGGATGAAGGGAGTCTGAACAATGAACATAGGGACAAGACAGGAGCCCACGACAGTCTAGCCATTATCAATATTGTTAATACGGTAGTTCTAGGCGGTTAGACATCTTGTTAGAACAGATGATATTATGCTATTGCAAACTGTAGTGTTGTTACAGTATTGAAATCAAATTAGCATTTAGCATGTTTTGACATTGCCATGCCATGTCACTGTTGACTGTAAGTATGTAACTTTGTGAAGTCATAAAAATGTTTAACTGTTGTTGAACCATAAACTTTATTAGCATTTGTAGTTGAAAGGTCTGCGGGTGTGTGTAACATTAGATTTATCGTTATGTTATTATCATCGGGGTGAAAATGCTTTGCGTTTTTATGATCGAATTTTCTCTTGATAGTGGAATGTTGTTTACTTACCTGACAATCTCTCCAGTTACAATGCATCTTATACTCCACAGTTAGTTCATATATATATAGTTGTAATTGATGCAAATACAGGTAACTTAATTGTATACTTCACAGGCTAGTTCTTTTAAGGCTGTAATATTGTAAATAGAGATAACATCTATACATCACACAGGGTTCATTTTGTAACTAATGCTAACTGAGGTATCTGCTATACTTCATATACAATAAATATACCACAGTTAGGTTAGTTCTTACACTGAATATGTAACCTATAAATGTTTCAAATACAATACTCCATGGTTAGGTTAGTAAAGATAGAGAGAGAGATAGAGAGTTGAACTTCCACGCGACAGAAATTTGGTCATTTCGAGACTAACACATGGTTCTATTTTATTTCAATAATTAACTTGCGCGTAGGGGTCTTTGGTCATGGGAGGAAACCGGAGGACCCAGAGAAAACCCACGAGGTTGGACAGGTCATCCTACTCCTTGTCACGTACAACCGTGGAATCGAAACAATGTCAGTTGACTCAATCACAGACCTTATCGCACACGCTAACCATTCGGCCATCCAACCATAATCATAGAATACTCCAAAGTTGATATAGTTGTAACTAACGTAAATACAATTGTATTATTAACTCCAAGGGCCTACATATCGATTTTGTTTGAGGGGTGTTCAGCAAAAATGAGGCCGACTGATGCACAGGCATCTAATACGAGTAACGCAGCCACGACCCGAGCACTGCAGGTGCGAGCTTTCTAGGGGAGAGGGGGGGTCAGGTGGCATGCTGCCCCGGTAAAAAATTTTGAATCTAGAGTCCCTGAAATGCCATTTCCTGGACTTTGGGGGAAGATGTTGAAGCATTCTGAGGGTCAGAAAAAAACTTATAACATGAGTAAAATTGAGTACTTATTTATTAAGAATTTTGCAAGAACGTACAAAGTACTGTGAATCTGTGACATTTTCTGAAAGTTGTAATAATTACATAATTTACATGGACCTATTTCTTCGATATATTAAATTGTTGTGGTAAATTAGCAAAGATATGACTATGTCCTCATGTTTTCATCAAGTTTGACCACCGATAGGCGATTTTGTCAAGATCAATCGTGTTCGTCAGGTCATGTTCACACGCAAGAGTCATACGTATACACAGATATATTCATATATATATTAAAGGGACAATAACACTCTTGCTGGCTTGAAAGCTCCAGAAAATAAATAATATCTCTATCTAAGTACTAGATGACCTGGCGCCTGGTACGTTCGGGCATTTTTATGCGCGAACTCTTAGTTTTTTTTTTACTGGCATGCGCACAGGTACTATTTCTTTTTCTTTTAACAAGTACCCAAATCGGGGATTTCGTGCGGAGGTAGTTCGGAGGTAAACAGTCTGTGAAGTACAATACTTGCCACTCTACCTGTGTATCGCTAATTATAAACCGAATGTGTGAAGACAGTTCATACATATCACTCAAAAATTTTTCAGTACAAACTCAGTTGATTCACGCTCGATTTGCTACTAAACAAACCCATCGGTTTATTTTCTCAACAGTGTGACCGCGGATTTATTGACCTTGTATGAACTTATCCATAGCTATAGCCTTACACCGAGAGAAATTATCTAGTCTCGGTGAAAAGAACCATGGTCATCTGGTAGAAAATTACTTTTGTATTTTTTGGAACGGAAAACAGTGTTTTTAGAAGCAAACTAACCTGCCGCACATGAGGAAGTCATTATACTAATAATAAAAGGCGAGACCTCTTTTTGCGGCGCAGGCTTATCACTGAGTAGTAAACCGTCCACAAACAATAATATAGGAAGCCTAGTGACGAGTGTAGTACGTAGGCTATAGACTATAGGTTTGAGCCGAGATTACTCGCTTTCAGTTTACTCTGTTTTTGCGATAACCAATTATGTGAGAAATACCATACTGACATTCGGTTTTTAAAAGTTGTACGCGAACTAAATGCGTTTGTTAGATACTGACAGAGCAGCCCCGAGTCGAACAATCGCCGACCGAGCTGTCTTCGTCAGCTAGTTTCACAATATCGTGCAATAGGTGTATTAATGTGATTTTTAGGTTTAACCCCGCAAACAATGCCAAAATAGTGCTTTCACTGCTTACACACTCCCTATCGAGCTGCCGCTCGGTCTGCGCAGCCTCATGCCTGGCACATACTGTCAACATTGTATATTTTTCCGTTTCCGCCCTTCCCCCCCCCCCCACAATATATATTTCACGGCTACGTTGCGACGGTACCGGCATACCCAGTTGTTGACACCCATGACATCACTCCTGTCTAACAAATCATAAAGCTGTGGTGTTACGATGGCGGCATAGTATTTCACCGTAACACCACAGCCACTCTAACCATTCATAATACATCTAACTATCCCTTTACAGCACTTCACTCCCTACACATTTCCCCTCGTCCTACTTTCCCAAACGTCAACAACACATCTCATACATCCAGTTCGCTGATTAACCCTTGTACCACGTCTACTGGATGTTTAAGTGTCCTACCTGTTGTGTAAATTATCCATTACATCCTATTTTACTTGTCCAGAGGGTTCGAAAATATTTTTAAATCGAAGTTTCATCTGAAAAGGTTTACGTTAGACGTTTCAAACCATTATGTTGAATTTTTCAAAATTTTTAAATAAGGTGTGTTAAGATGAAATTTGTATCATCAATTAATTGAAATATTCTAAAATAGTACAATTTGTTGACCAGAATAAAGATTGGGACATATTATTCAGTAACAACAAGAGTGGTATTGAGCCTTTAAGTATATGGGATTTTTCCCTTCTATTTTGGCATTGTTTGTTTACCACATTCATTCATTTAGTCGTCGATTCATAATTTTGAGACCGACTGCAGTGACCGCAGTTAGTTCATATATAGTCGGGGGGGGGGGGGCACTGAGTCAAGTAGTGTGGATTCGATTCCTCGCTTGAACGTGACAAGGAGTGAGATCGCCTGTCCAACCTCGTAGGTTTTCTCCGGGTCCTCCGGTTCCCCCCCCCCCACTACTAAAGACCCCTACGAGCAAACGAATAATTAATATATAATTCAACCATAATATAATGTTAGTCCTGAAATGATCTAGTTCGTGTCGAGTGGACGTTAAACCCCATTTCATTTCATTTCAAACCCCATTTCTCTCTCATATATAGTCATTGAGTTAATATACATGTAACAAATATAGTCACGTAGTTCATATATACTCTTCAAAAAAAGTAGGGGATATTCAGAAACAATACAAAACTGCGGAAATGCACTGCTGTTTTTATTAGAGGTAACCAGTGTATGTTAATAACAGGCCAATTGCCTACACATGAACAGTTCATATGGACGGCTTATCTGACGGCCTCCATTTCAATCGCAAAGAGAGAGAGAGAGAGAGAGAGAAATGGGGTTTAACGTCCACTCGACACAAACTAGGTCATTTCGGGACTAACATATGGTTTAATTTTATTTCAATAATTCGCTTGCGCGTAGGGGTCTTTAGCAGTGGGAGGAAACCGGAGGGCCCGGAGAAAACCCACGAGGTTGAACAGGCGACCCTACTCCTTGTCACGTACAATCGGGGATTCGAAACCACGCGCAAAGAGATACACCGTCAAAAGTGAAATGAGTAATGAGTAATTGCTCCACCAATCCTCAGACATTCACGATTTGGGGCAATCTGACCCACTTCACTTGCAGTGCCACGGCCAATTCTTGCAGTGTTGTCGGTTGACGTTGAAGAACACGCCTCTAGATCAAATTAAATGAAATGAAATGAAATGAAATGGAGTTTAACGTCCTACTGTTCTGCTCCTAACCTGGGCTAATGAAGACGGGCATACGCCATACAGTGTGCTATGAGGGAAATTTTGCCCGGACAGCGGCACTACGGCCTACTCTTATATCGAATTCCAACTGCCAAGGGATCTTTTACGTGCACGCCAATGTGTACACGGGACCTCGGTTTTTCGTCCCATCCGAACGACTAGACAGCTTTCCTTGTCAGGCCCTCCGTCCTGCATCACTGACAAGGGGAAACCACGCCGGAAAATCTGGATGAACTTTCTCGGCCAATGCAGGGATCGAACACTCGACCTCCAGGCTAGCGAGCTAGCGTCTTACCCACTTAGCCACGTGATCCCCTCGATCAAATTAAACGTAACACACTAAAGCAAAGATACGCTAAACAGTAAATCTTATGCAAGAACCGATAGGAAAGCAAACATGGATAGAAAAACCAGCAAGCGGCAGTTTTCATCAACCCTCCCTTGAAGTGTCAAATTTGACAATGAACCCCTGTCACGTGTATGGCGCTATTGCTTGTTGCATGTGCAGCTCAGTGGTTCTGTTGGGGCGATAAGTTCATCATCTGTGAACATATTCTCAAAGCATGTCAAGTGTCCATGACTATTTATCATATCACAACCTGCATAGGTATTTGCATTTCAATATCCCCTACTTTTTTTGAAGAGTATATATACATGTAACATATATATATATATATATATATATATATATATATATATATATATATATATATAGTCACGTGGTTCATATATAGTCTTTGAGTTAATATGTAACAATGTTATCTAATAAAGATAATTTCCCTTGACTATTTTTCCTGCCAAGTTTACAACCCCGTATTGGATGCACACAGTAGAAAGGCACCATATATGCATGGAACTCAAGTGAAAAGGCACCAATGTCATGCATGGAACTCGAGAGTAAAAAGGCACCAATGTCATGCTGGAACTCGAGAGTGAAAAGGCACCAGTGTCTAATTGTTCACAGTGGACATTAAAACCTTTTTTCCTCTCTTCCACAGTTAAAGACCCCTAAACAATTTCATATTCGCTTGTGCGATATTTCCGTTAGGCTGACAAGCTTAAATTACTATATGTAAAAAATTTTATAGCTCAATACACAGCGAACATGTCAAATAAAACAAACAATATTCATGAGTACAACACCATTCAAAATGTCAGTCAAGCTGTTACAATGTACATACATGTAGAAAGCTGAATGAAATTTCGTTTATCTGTTTGTACACATTCTATTAGAAGCTCTAAAAGTTAGTGTCATCATATAACAAGATATCCTGATAAACATTTTAAAGTGACACTACCTTAAAGTGGAATTATCATTTCCTCAAGAAGATAACTTAAGGTATTTTGATAAACTGATGCTATTCAGTTCACTTTTCCGTTTATCGCTTGCATTATACTGGATCACATTTATGTACTGTTCAGACGAACACACGACAGTCCATATCCAACAGTCATTACGGTAGTCAGCCGTATTATCTCTACATAAATGTGTTCTATTTACAACGATTAACCCGTTAACGCAATTAACCAAAGAGTAACGCTATATAATGTACGGTACATCCATCATAACATTATAACTATTGCATAACATTGATGTTGTTTACACTAACAATAACATGCTAATGACACTAACATACCTACACTCTTGCACTAATGTCTGTATGGCCTGTTCATAGACAGCTAACGTCAATATAATTCATGTCATCTATAATAAACATCAACTTACCAGCTCTCCGACGCAATGTCAATATGACTTGTTTAAGTTTCCTCTTACCGTCTCAAAAATAGAGTTAACTCCCTTGATAATAATTTAAATGCGTTTTTATAGATTAGACAAAGTGATTTGCATTTAACCAGGTATTCATCTATGTCCATCTGATCCAAATTGATTACCCTAACAAGCGAATTTATCGATTTACCCCAATTTGTTGATTTGATCCGATGATCATGTGGGGTTTTTTTTCCACCATGTACAGTCACAGAAAATTGTTGCAGGTGATTGGCGCATTTAACGAACTCGCCAAAGTGTTTTGAATATACAGTCGACTGATATCTCCACTAGCAAGTCAATAAAAAAAAGCCTTATATAACTTTTGTAGCCAATAATGAATAAAATGTTGTTTAATGGCACGTCAGCACGAACCGGGCTATATTGCGCCAAACATATTATAGTGATTTATTCGAAACAGGCTAAATTCTATCACAGAAATACAATCTTTTTACTAAATAAATGAAATATCAATAATTGAAGCCAGGAAAAAGTCCGACATCAGGCAAGTTGAACGTCACCTACTTCACCCTTATCACCAAAAATAAGATGCCAGGTGTGTCTGAACGTCCGAGATGCAGGGCTTATGATTCGGACCGGTTGGATTCTTGTTCTATCTCCTGGTTTGAGGGGGATATAGGGTCCTCTCCCGAGATAATTTTTGAAATTCCGGTGCAAAAACGTCTTGTGATATTTTACCATTTCTGAATGCAACTCAGCTCAACTCTCCTGGTTCGAGGGGGACATGATGTCCTCTCCCTAGATAATTTTTGAAATTCCGGTGCAGAAACGTCTTGTGATCTGTTACCATTTAAACCCTATCAGATCAGAATGCAACTCAGCCCACTAGACTTACTTCGAAATCCAACGGTCAACGCGCCACTGTATACACGGAACCGGCACCTGTGGCATATGGAAGGGTATCGCTGCTAAAAGGTCTTTTCCATTGATTATATGTAAATAGTACAACGTACAGAGTCCTAATACCGGTATTAAGATTTTGTACATTGTACTTTTTACACGTAATCAATAGAAAATACATTTTAGAAGAGCATTTAATATTGGCAGCGATATCCTTCCATAGTGGCAACCCAGTTCATACATGTAAGGTATCGATTTCAACGTCGTGTTGTGGGGACATTGAGTATGTTTTTTGGGGGGTACTCCAGTTTCCTACCGTTGCTATAAAGACCCCTACGCACAAACTCATTATTGAAACAAAAATATACCATGTTAAAATGACCTAGTGTATATTGAGTCGACAGTAAAAGCCATGTGTCTAAATATAACAACACACAATGTTTTTAAAAACACTTTACTCCTAATACAACAACCCCAATACACCGACACCCCTAAATAAATAAATACGTTACTCTAAAACAAAGACAAAACTAAAATCCTTTACTCCAAAAACCCCCGAACAGAAATCACGTATTAACAAGTCACTCTAAACGACACAACCCTATACATAACCACGATTGTTTAAATTATTTAACAAGTCATTCTAAAAACACAACACCGAACAGAAATCGAATAAGGAATTGACAATTCACGTTTTAAAAAAAAGCCCCCACCTCTCAGCCAGTAACTCTGAAACACACAATTCCTTAATGAATTATGCCTGTGATGGATTTTCAGTGTTGTTTAATGTTTGAATACGTTACTCTAAAACACACAACCACCCCTTAATAAATTCAGTTCGCACAATAACAATAAGACCCGTCGATTTTCAAAAGGGTTGCAGAAACATGATGGATTTCTTCAACACCTCGCCAGATAGAGAATCCAGCCAGAAGTTATCTACCCCTGACCCATCCATTGTACCGGTTAAAAAGCTCTTGGTACAGTTAGGAGTATTATCAAACCACCAGCCACCCCCGAACCTCTGACCGCATTGGTTACTTCCGGTATAATCGACATCGTACGTCGAAAACTGATTATCTTGCTCATCCATAGCCGGGTCAAGAAAGCCGCAATGGGCGTTTCCCGCATAACTAACATGAAAGAAATAATTTTCCGACTGTTCTCCCAATCGGAAATAGTAGTACTCAGTCACACATGCGCTCCCATCAGATTTGTGGAGATGGAATTCTAGACGCAAATAAGGCCGATTCTTGCTAAAGGTCAAAATGTTTTTCAATCCGATCCAATGGTTAAGGCGAACGTTACCAAAGCCGTGTTGATATTCAGCCCACGTTCTGTTGAAATTTTCAAATTGCCATTCACTGTTACGTACCAACATGGCGGTCTTTCCGCCTCCGGAGTATATCCTGCATATGACTTCAAATGGTTCCGGTGACGTAGTCGGTTGAATGGTCATTGATGCTTGCTCACCATAAATCGTTAATCCACTTTCGTATGCTTCTTGACAATCTGACGAGAAAAAAAGATTATTTTGAATAGAGATGCATTTCTAAAGCATAATACGTTTTCTGGGTTTGGCGATCAGATAACGCAGCAAACGACTGACCTGCCAATGGAGATGGATCCATTCTTCTTTATGTCCAATGCCAATTTTTATGACATGGAATGAAATGGGGTTAAGCATCTTACTTTTCTACAGCGACAGGGCCAATGAAGATTGACATACGCCATACAGTGTGCTTTGAGGGAAATTTTCCCCGGACTACGACACTACGGCCTATTTTCGTTTCGAATTCAAACTTTCAAGGGTTCCTTTACGGCACACCAATGTGTTCCGAACGAGTACGACTAGACACCGTTCCTCGTCAGTCTCTCCGTCATGAATGCATCATTAAAAAGGAAAACCACTTAGGAAAATCCCAATTAACTTTATCGGCCAAGACTCTTTATATAAATATGAATTCTGCTTTCAGGAATATAAGTGATAAACTATTCATAAAGTAGATAAATTTTAATTTACACCTTCCGATACATCGATGACATAACAAAATGGAATGGGAAGGGGTTTAACGTCCTACTTTTCTGTACAAACCGGACCAGGCCGTGTCCTATGGGGAAAATTGTACCCGGTCAGTGGCACTACAGCCTACTGTTACCGCGAATTCAAACTGTTGTGGGTTCTTTAAAATTTCAAAATGTGTCAGATATTAAGTAAAATAATCAGCTTACTCTTCCGGACACCTGTTACCACAGTTTGTCGTATATTTTGTACACGGTGAACATCCCATTTGCTGATTACACCATTTTGCCTATACCGATTTTTTAGGACCTCAAATTTTGTCTAATGGTTTGGATTGTTCGTACTTGGTTTTATTTTATTTATTATTAGATCTCCAAAAAGGTATTGTGTAAAAAAAGAAAGAAAAGAAATTACCTGCAAATATATTTTGACAAGTGTCGCCATAGTAACCTAAGGGGCACGTGACTGTACCGGTTTTATATCCAATAGTCTGTCATAGATAAAAATACAACATTATATTATTACGATGTTTAAAAAAAACATAGGCCACAAAAAACTTCAGTTTTGAAATTTAAAAAAGGTAACCATTGACCTTCCCCAAATTCGAATCTTTCTTTCTTGACAATGCTAAATCAAAAGCGGAGTTTAAGGACCATCTAATACAAAATCTTTAGTGTCAGAATATACCCAGTATAACGCACGAGGACCACATAATACACAATCTTTACTAAAGCCAGAGAAGCGTACAAGGAGGACCCCATACATAATATTTATTGCCAGTACGAAAAGTATCAAAATCCAGAATAGCGACCGAGGACCACCATATATACAGCACCTTCTTTATACTAAGCCCAGAATAGCGTACGAGTCAGTACTAGACCTAGTGCAGCGACCGAGTCAATACTAGTAGGAATCAGTACTAAACACAGAGTAGCGTACCGGCACATAAAATCTGTAGTGTCAATACTAGAACCAAAGTAACGTATGCGAACCATCCCATACACAATCTTTAGTACCAGTTACTAAACCCAGTGTAACGTATATGCCAACCATCTTTTAAGGAGGATACTGACAAACTCAAACTGCGTGTTATGGGGCTTCTCCTAGTATACATATAATAAATTACATGGCGCATGTATGCAGTAACGGTCGGCGGTAATTTTGAACCAAGTTGAGTCCAACAGGGCCGCTGCATATTAATGAGTCTACTATTACGCATTTTAAAAGAAATTTCAAAACTTCCATTTCTTCAACATACCAAGTTTGACACTTCTTATAAGAATATAACCGACTACATGATAACGATCCAAGTCAAATTTTATCTTTTTTTTTCTGTAGTTACCGAACCCTGTCTGAGTTATCCCCCTTATTGTTATGCTTTTATAAATACACATACAAACATAGTACGATTTCTTCAGCATACCTGTTTTGCATTTCTTGTGTGGGATATTAATTTAATATATTATAAATTGTACAATTACATAACTTAATAATTCCGATTGGTCGCTAAAACTTACAGTTTATTAAGCTTTTAACGTTATTTTATCTGGATTATCGCCCTTTTTATTGTGATTTTTTATAACCTAAGTTATGACGTCGTTCCCAGAATAACGTCACTCAGTCAGCTGTCTTTCGGGACAGTCTACATTTCCTATTCGCTTCTTTGTTTTCAGTTTTGTTTTTGTGACGGATGGAACATGTACCCTACATCATGTATTCAATAAACCTCGATTCCATTGAATACTGAAAAGTTTCTTGGCTGATTTATATTTAGACTATTTTGTACATTTCACCGATGTGGT